AAGTCGGTTTCTCAAAGAGGCCATCTCTGACCCCACTCCCCTATAGTTTCCTTCCATAACACCCTCTTTCTTTCCTTCAGGGCACTTACCACAACTGCTGTTATTGTTTATGGATTCATTTGCTTAATGTCTATCTCCTCTATGAAACCTTCTCTGTCTTATTCACTATTATGACTGTAACACCCATCACCTGTCGGCACATGGGTAGGAACTCAGTAAATATTGAATTACAAACCAATGTGCATTAAACTTGCCACATAAACCTTCTCTGGGGCAACATCACAAACATTCCTGAAGCTGGGCTATCTCGCCTCGCACCGCACCGTGGACAACATTTAGCAGCCAGCCACTCAGTTCCCTGTGGCTTTATTTTCACACCTGAGCTTGCAGGAACCCCATCTACAAAGGACTCAGAAATATCCATTTGCCAACCCTAGCGCACAGTGAGTGCAGATAAAAGTGCCCAGGTGGGAAGAGGGAGGCAGGCTCAGGTCATGATCTCGGGGCTCTGGAAATGAGCCCCACATTGGGCTTCCTGCTCAGCGGGGAGCCTGCTTCTCCCTCTGCCCCCTCACTGTTTGTGCTCTCTCATGCTTGCTCCCTCTCAAATAAATAAAATCTTTAAAATAAATAAATAAAAATAAATTTAAAATGTAATTGCAATAAAATGACAAAGCAAAATGTCAAAAAGAAATGGAAATCACCGCTGTTCTTGACATACCCTTTGTTTAATGGATGACAAATTATAGCAGTAATTCTCAACATGTAATGGAAGGCTGTCCCAGGATGGGACTCTGGCGTGGAAAAAGTCATGGAAAGCGGCTCTCCTTTTTTGTTCCCAAGTTTGTCACAACTATTTACACAGTGGTCGGCTTGAATTGAAATTCTGTGGATAAAGCAGCCCTTTTAAACAAGGAAAGAAGCCCAGGCTCCATAGCACTCATGTTCCACTCATGTCCTGGGTTGATGACAGTGCGGAGAATGAGCATTTAAAGCGTATCATCTGGAAATTTTCTTCTGAGACAGTCAGCTTCGAGACACTATGAGCAGTCATAAAATGGAGGTCCATCCAGGGAATAACAACCGGGACACAGAACATTCCAGATCATCTTGTACTGTGTATCCATGGCCCCTTCTCCACGGATCGTGCCAAAATGTAAAGAATGTTCTATTTCGGGGCCCCTGGGTGTCTCAGTGGGTTAAAGCCTCTGCCTGCGGCTCAGGTCATGGTCCCAGGGTTCTGGAATCCAGCCCCGCATCAGGCTCTCTGCTCAGCAGGGAGACTGCTTCCTCCTCTCTCTCTCTCTGCCTGCCTCTCTGCCTACTTCTGATCTCTGTCTGTCACATAAATAAATAAAATCTTAAAAAAAAAAAAAAAAGAATGTTCTATTTCTCCACACATCCTCCCTTCTTACCTTGTCCCCAGAATGGGCTCTGAAACGGGCCAGCAGGGACTCTCAGAAGGCCGAGTGTGATCGGTCTTCACATTGATGGCGCTGGGGGACAAAGCTAAGTGGTGAAGCAGCATTTAAGGCAGGGGCATGGTGAGGATGGTTGTTTCTTTAGCCAACTTTTTCGGTGCCCTTGGGATGGAGTAGAAGTCACTGTGCGACAGCACGTCTATGCCTCCTGATTCTACTCTTGGCTCTTAACAATTTAAAATAACAATAATATATCTCAGATTCACTAGGGGCATTATTCTGTATTTGTTGGGCATTTCCTGATAACAGCACCCCAACAGTAATTTGGGAAAAATATCTCTTCACTACTGGGGGCAATGCTGATAGGACTGTCCTTTAGAATGACCTAAGCCTGGCAAAATGGACTCCATCTGCTCCATCAATTCTCAGAAGGAAAAACAAAATGACAAAAATGTTTGCAGTTGATCAGAGAGTATCAACTAGCTTCTGATAATGCAGCCTGTCCTGGGGGCGCCTGGGTGGCTCAGTGGGTTGATTCTCTGCCTTTGGCTCAGGTCATGATCTCAGGGTCCTGGGATCAAGTCCTGCATCGGGTGTTCTGCTCAGTGGAGCCTGCTTTCCCCTCTCTCTCTGCCTGCCTCTCTGCCTACTTGTGATCTCTCTGTCAAATAAATAAAGTCTTTAAATACGGTATAAAAATACAGCTTGTCCCTTCTGAACTTAGTTTTTAGTTGATTTTTTGATTCTCTGAGCTACACCAATGCCTCCAAATGAAATGCAATGTTTATTCGTGTATTAGTTTCCTAGAGCTGCCATAATAAATACCACAAACTGGGCATTGTTTTCTCACAAACTGACAATTTCCAGAGGGGAGGCAGGTGCAGGGGCGGGAGGCGGGGGGGCAGGAATGGGTGAAACAGGTGATGGGGATTAAGGAGGATACGTGTTGTGATGAGCACCAGGTGTTGTACGGACGTGTTAAATCACTAAGTTGTACACCTGAAACTAATATTCCAATATATGGTAGTAACTGGAATTTAAATAAAAACTTCAAAAAGAAAAGAAATCATTCTCTCAATGGGAGAATTCTGGAGGCTAGAAGTATGAACTTAAGATGTTAGCAGGGTTCGTTCCTTCCAGAAGTTCTGAGGAAAATTCTATTCCATGCCTCTCTCCAAGCTTTTGGTGGATGCTGGCAATCCTTAGCATTCTTTGGCTTATGGAGGCATTATTCTAATCTCTGCCTCTGTTTTCCCATGGCTTCTCTTCTTAGTGTTTGTACTTAAATTTTCTGTTTCTTATGAGAAACACCAGCCATTGGATTAGGATCTACCCTAATGTAGTAGAACCTCTTTTTAAACTTGACTACACAGCAGAAACCCTATTTCCAAATAAGGTCACATTCAGAACGTACAGGTGGACATGAACTTTGAAAGGACTATTCAATCCAGTAGAGCATGCAACCAAAAAAATTGATCCAGTCAAGTTCCAAGCCAGTGTTAAGAATGGGTTCTAGGTATTACGTTTTTGTTTTGGTTTTTTGTATTCTTTTTTTTTAAATTAACATATAATGTATTATTAGCCCCAGGGGTACAGGTCTTTGAATTGTCAGGCTTACAGAATTCACAGCACTCACCATAGCACATACCCTCCCCAGTGTCCATAACCCAACCACCCTCTCCCTAACTCCCTACCCCCGGCAACTCTCAGTTTGTTTTGTGAGATTAAGAGTCTCTTATGGTTTGTCTCTAGGTATTACGTTTTAATCTTAACAACAACCCCTGAGGTGAGCACTTTTATTATCCTCCCTTTAGAGGGGGCAAAGTGAAGACCCAGAGAATTTGTTCGAGGTCAAATAGCCAGTAAGAGGCAAGCTAAGATACAAGGCAACGTCTCATCTGATACAAACATGTTCTCCTCACCACTACACTATATTCTAGGCTTTGCCATACTTGAAAATGTACTGATGACTCCACAACTCCCAACTACAAACTACGAAAGGAAAATGTCTACTTCCTAATTTGATGCTAGATCTCAAAATCTCCACATGGCTTTCCTGCCTTCTTTGGACCTCAGTACAGGGGACAACCAAAATCAAAGTATCTGGAAGAGACTAAGGAAGAAGCTGAGAGAATCAGAGAATGGCTGCCGTCATTATCTGATCTGAAGTCCACATGGGTAGCAGCAGCAGGAAGAAACCTGTTGAGCTCTGCGTCAGATGGGCAGATGGACAGGGATGGAGGGTAAGATTTTCTACGAGGCAATCTCTTCTCTGTGGGGCCCAGGCAAACAGTGAGGGGCTCAAGCATAGAGGACCAGAACACCAAAACTTGGTGGGAGAGCTTTAGCCTCAGCAAGACTGTCAGCTGAGTAGGGACTAGGACCATGAAACGGCTCAGATGGGTCTCTGATCAATACTATGAGGCTTTAGGAATGAATCCAGATCTTTCCAAAAACCAGCAAAGGGCAGAGAAAGCCATATTCTTCAAAAATAATAGACCCAGGGTCTGCTGGATTTTGAATGTTAGTGATAAATGCATATCTAACAGAGACCTCCCCCCAGCCACACAGCATCCCCCGGAAAGTCTTGTGGCCGAGATGCTCCCTAGGGCAAAGGCAGGACCTGGAAAGGGATGCTGACATGGTACCAGAGATGAGTCGGAATATCCCAAGATAAAAATGGAATAGATGTGCTTTGAACTTCATTCCCAGGGGACAATCATACAGCTAGGTACCTCTCTAGAGCTAAAATAGTATCTGAAAATATTTCCGTCAACATAGGAGGCTTTTTGTGATGATTTCTGTTCTTATAAGAGTACTGCATATTCCTCCTAGAAATACTAGAAAGAGATAAGCAAAAAGAAAATAAAATTACTTATTAGCCTACCATCTGGAGTATGTCATAAACATTTGTATTTGTATCCTTCCAGATATTTTTAAAATATTTCTCCCCAAAAAATGGTGTCTAATGTGCTTAGTTTTACAGTCTGCTTCTTTAACTTAAAAAGGTACCAAAACATCTTTCATCCCGTTGACTGTTATTCTACAATGTGACTTTTCATGGCTGTATAATAACTCAATGTGTGCATGCCCCATCAAACATTTCAGGTCATTCCAGATTGTTGCCACAATAACCAATGCTGCAGAATTTAACATTGCTAAATCTTCGCACGTGATTTACCTCCTTAGACTAAATGCCTAAAAATGTAATGACTGGGCCAAAGCTATATAACACTTGAGGTTCTTGTCATACGTATTGCTAAGCCATCCGGCAGAAAGGTTATACCAACGTCTCCTCCCACCAGCAGCAGATGGGGGAGCCCATTTCATGCATCTTTGCCAACAGTGGAGTTCGTCATTTAAAAAATCTTTGAAGTTACCACTTATTCTATAAAAGCATCCACATCCCTGAAAAGCAAGATTTTTTCCTGCCAAGGAGTGCACATGAGCCGCTAGAAGACTGGTCTGCTTATTCTAAAGCCATTATATTTCTGTCCTTGTGCCTGACGTAGCTCCTGCACCCAGGGATGACTTGGGAAAGAAAATAGTCAAGGACTTGCATGAAGAGGGAACACATACAGATTCTCCTGTCTCGGCAAACACTGAAGAGGCCGGTGCTCCAGTCTCCCCCAGTCTGGACGATCGCTGCGATGGTGGTCCTGCCAGGGCCTCCCCGGTCAGGCTGCTTCACCACAGCCTGGGCTGGTGCATGGCTCCTGGAGAGTCAAAAACAGTGATTAACTTGAAAACAAAGGGGATGGTTCAGAAGGATAACCATTAAGCCAAGACAGAGCAATAAAAAGGAGAAAGGGACACAGATGCTGAGTGGCTCTTAATTTGTAGCCCAACCTCCTCACCATCTGCCCCCCCCCCACCAACTTCTGCTCCGACTTTGCCCTCTCTCTGGTAATGGCATGATTACTCCAGACCCTGTCATTCACCCTTAAGGTCCAGTCTACTTCCTTAGTATTTTGTAATAGTTAAATCCACAAATCTGGAACCAAGAGGACTCGGTTCAGACATCAGCATGTCACTTGCTGGCAGCTTGACCTCAGCTGTCGCTTAACATCTCTGTTTCTTTTTGTTTGAAAGTAAGATTTAAAAAGATGACCTCACAGGATTATTGTGTTGAATGAAGGACAGATAATTAGTTTGCTGTGTCTGAGTGTATGCCCTGAGTGAGGCTGTACCCCAGGGGTTTTGAGCCTTCATTGAAGAAACTAATAGGGCTTGGGCATGGAAATTGGGACGAGGCCGTAGAAATTGAACACGCAGTTATCATTTAAACAAACAACCAAGACTTCAGAAGATGTCTTTTTCTGTTTGTTTAAAGATTTATTTATTTATTTATTTATTTTGGTGGGAGAAGGGCAGAGGGAGAGGGAGAGAGAGAATCTCAAGCAGACTCCTTACTGAGTGTGGAACCTGATGGGGCTGGATCCCAGGACCCCGAGATCATGACCTGAGCTGAAACCCAGAGTCAGATGCTTAACACACTGAACCACCCAGGTGCCCCCAGAAGATGTCCTCATATCAAAGTACTATATGATTATCCTGGGGGGCCCACCAAATACACCTTTGGCCTAGTTTTCCTTGAAGGGAAGAGATAGTCCATGTCACCATTCTCAAGTAGAAAATACGGGCCGAGGGGATAGCCTTCAAAAGTGAAGTGGAAAAACTCCCTTCTCTTTCTGGGCCCCAAAGCTGGTTTTGCCCCAGGTCCTACCATGGAGATACCTGGGGTAGTCCCACAGTGAAGGGTAAGCTGTACCTAGCCTCCTGGAAGGGGCAGATTGAGAGGATGGTTGAGGGACTGCCCCAGAATGAGTGTGAGCCTGTACATGGTAGTAATTATTCTACTTCCTGCTTCCCTTTTGGCAAGCCTCATTAACAGTCTGTACCTGTCTCTGGTGGGTTGTGAAGAATGAAAGAGCGAGCCTGCCTCACACGGGAGACAAAATAAATAAGAGACAGCAGAAATTCTTCCTGTAACAGCTGCTGTTACAGGACTAGTCACCAAGGCTCAGCACCTGTGACACATGGCCTGGAGGGCAGAGAGGAACACTCCTGAGCACCCTTAAGGCAACACCCTGAGGGCATCTTGGAAACAGCAGAGGGCCCTTTGAGAACCTCTAAATCAGGGCAGTAAATCCAGTGGGGGTGCATTGTTCTTGTTATTAAGATCCACATCTCTCTTTCCTTCTACTAACACTGCCCGCATCCACGCCCTCCCAAACCTGATGTGCCTTTAATAAACACATTAGCTTGTTAACAAAACAAATGCCCAAGCCTCACCCGAAGCCAAAAGCGCAGGTCTCCAGACAAGAGGTACAGAAATCGAGATTCCTAACAACGTCGCCAGCAATACCTAAGCTGTCATCCTAACACCAGCCAGCCTGAAACCTGGCAGAGGTGGATGTGGGGGCCACAAATGACCACACCAGCCTCTGAGTCTCCCATCGGGTGGGTGGGGACGTCAACGTGAGAAAGATGGCGAAGAACAGAGAGTAGGAGGAAGGCTGGTGGGGAAGAGGATGGGTGGAAGATCGCTGGTCTTCAGTGCCAAGGAGACACCAGCTGGGAGTTGAAGGTCAGGAGCTACCTGTCTGGAAGTGCACAAAGTGGAGCTATAAATAACCCCAACCCCTTCATCCTTTAGGCATTTAGAGACAAGGCTTGCAAGCTAACGAGCTTTTCAAGAGCCTGCAACACTATCTGAGGCCTAGGAAAAAGTACTGGCTCCAAAATACAAAAACTACAAGACAGAATCCAAAATTAGTTAATGCTCAACTAAACACTGAAGTCTAGCATTATGCCAACCTCATTAACTGTCAAATTCACAAATATTTTACTACATTTAAAAACAATTTAGAATTCTCATTTTGCAAAAAAATCCCAAGTACGAATGATTGCTGAGAAACAAGAGCCAATCATAAAGTGAACTAATTGCGGAGAGCCAAATAATTTCAAAAGCAAAATTATAAAAATCCTTTCACTTATTGTACAGCAGAAAAAGTATGGATATAACGTGTGGTATGGGTACACTTGAATACGTCTGTTACACTGTGGGTTGGGGCCCATGGTACAGACTGAACTGTGTTCCCCCAAAGTCTGTGTTGAAGCCCCAGCCCCCAGTGTGACTGTATTTGGAGATAGTGCTTTGAGGAGGTGATTACAGTGAAGTGAGGAATAGGGGTGGGAGAATGGGCTATAAAACTTCCATGTAAAAAGGCCACGTTGAGCAACCAGCAAGAAGGCTGCAAGCCAGGTGCAGAGCCCTCACCAGAACCTGACCACACGGGCACCTTGACCTTGTACTTCCAGCCTCCTGAACGGTGAGAAAATAAATTTCAGTTCACGAGACCACCCAGTCTATGACATTGTGTTAAGGAAGCTCAGAGCAAACAAAGACAGCTATGAAGATTTTAAACTGGTGAAGAAACCACATTTATGCCTGTCTTATTTCCTCTGTTCCTTGGGGTCAGTGAGCACAAGCTGCTCGCCCGCACCCCCCGACCCCGTAACCCCGGAATCCAGCACACAACCTGACACCTGGCAAGCTTGTGGTTACTTGGTGAACTAGACCAAACTGAATGTCCATATCTCTGCTGCTATCTTTGAGTCCTCCTCAAATCTAGTTATAAATTATGGGATCTTAGTGTTTCCTTCTCTAGCAGAGTTACACTTCTCAGGTGTGGAGAGAGGAAATAAAAGCAGAGAGGAGCCTCAAACTTCCTGCATCCCTCCACACCACCCATTTGCCATCAGATTCGGCAAGTTCTTCATTGAGTGGAAGACAGATTTTAGGCCCGGGCATGCTAAAATTCAAATGTGGCCTTCTTGCCTTCTATTTGTCTGACCTTGGGAAACATGTCACTGCCTTCAGCTCTGGTCTCTCTCCCATAAAACTGGATTGCAAACATCCTCCCTCTGCAGTGGTCTTGAGGATCAAACAGGATCACACTCTCGGCACACAGGAGGCTTGAAGTGGGTGGTGGCTACTGTTATTCTAACTCCATGATCCTGCACTGCCCTAGGGCCTTCTGTACCCTTTCCCAAGAAACAGAGAATGGAGGCAGGTGCTCTCGGGCAGTTTCTCAGGCGTCACATGGGCTGCCCAAATACCTAAAACTTCGATCCCAGGGACCCATCATCCAGCTTTCCCAGGACTAAGGGTTTTCCCAGGAGGGAGAACTTCCAGGGCTCACCTCAGGACATGCCAAGGTAAACCACGAAGTTTAGTCACCCTAAGAGATAAGCAACAGAGGGAGGCTTCAGCTGGTGGGAAGCAGGAGGCTGACTCAAAGCACAAGGCAAGAGGCCCAGTGCTGGAAGATGGGGATGCACACTCTCCCTGCTTTCTGACCTCACTCTGTGGTCCTCTTCTTGCTGCTGCTAAGCGCATTCCCACCCTGTGTCCCCACTTGTCTGGTGCTTCGCCTTGCCAGGGGGGTGGGGGGGGGACGTTGTTCCTGTCACCCTCTTCCTTGATGAAACTTGCAATACTAAAAAGCATTCATTCTGCCTCCCACCCAGGCTTCCTTGATTAATTCAAACTTAACTGAAGCCAAAGCTCTGGAGTTTTGATTTCAAAGGACTAGAAATTACTGGCAGCCCCCAGTAGTCAAGTTTTACTTGGTCAAGGTTCAACGCTGAAAGTTAAGAATAAAAGACGCCCTTTCACCCAAGCTAGCCCTTCTCTTTTCACTGGCCAAGCAGGGCCCGAAGGAACTAATCAGTTGCCCCTTTTCAAGTACCAGTGGAAAATGATAGCAACTACTTTCTTCCCAAGCCCAGTTTTCTTCTCTTGGCTCCTCCTAAGAAGAGACTGATTTTTAGACAGAGAGACAGAAAGAGATTTGATATGCTACCCAAAAAGAAAAAGAAAAAAATCACCCAACTCTCTACCTCACACTGGAAAGAAAATGTTCATCTTCAGAAGAGATGAGTGAAAGCAACAGAGGTGAGTGTAGGCTGAGTAAGGAAGCATCCTCAGGAAATTTAGAGAAGTAATTTCCAAACCAATTCATAGCGAAGAGCTTTCCTGTCTCGGAGGCTCTCCTTCTCCCTTTGACAAGAGGCTGATTCTAAACTTAGATTCAATCCAAAGTAAAGCACCTCTTCTAAAGAATGTTGCGTTCATATTCTGGAACCTGAGGTCACAGCACTGTAACTGACAGACATCTTATTTCTTTAAAGACGCATACACATCTAACTGGACGTGTCTATGTCAGGGTATTAGGAGTTTCTGAAGTACGCCTCTAGGACATGCCTTATGCAGGTGTGGATCTCAGCAATGCTGGGAAAATGTCCAGAGAGGAAAAAAAAAAAAACTTGAGGAAAAGATTTGGAATTGAGAGAAGACATCTACAATCATAATTCAGGGTTACATGAGAAAAACAACAGCAGGGACCTGCCAACTCTGCTACATAGTCTTCACATCAGACCCACAGAGAGTAACTGCTGAGGGTTCTGAATCTCAAAGCATTTATTTGAGCGGGTTTGTGAGGAAAAGCCTTTATAATACCTTCCAAATCAAGATTCTCAGATACATCTTCCTAATTGCCTTCACTCACTGGGTTCTGGGCAAGTCTGTCTCCTCATCCAAAAGGATGCGTCCTACATGAAGGACACCCATGTTTCTTCCACTTAACCATTCCAACTCTAAGCGCATAACATGGTGTATGCAACAGAATAAGGATTTAGTAACTTGTTGAACAAATGTGCTATACATGAAAATTCAAGTTTGTAGGATAACAGAGATGAACAGGTGATTACTAAGCTTTGCAAAAAAATGATTTACAGGGGCGCCTGGGTGGCTCAGTGGGTTAAGCCGCTGCCTTTGGCTCAGGTCATGATCTCAGGGTCCTAGGATCGAGCCCCGCATCGGGCTCTCTGCTCAGCAGGGAGCCTGCTTCCTCCTCTCTCTCTGCTTGTGATCTCTGTCAGATAAATAAATAAAATCTTTAAAAAAAAAAAGATTTACAATATGGTTCCTTTAAGGAGTGGATAACCATTGTCCATGTAAGCTGACTCTATATTTTAAAATTGCATTTGTACTTAACTTTTCTAATCAAACATCTATTGTATGAACTGACTAAGCTGTAGGCCACATAGCTCTTTCACCTAAAAATAAAATGAAAAAGAGAAAGAAAAAGGAATGTTCTTCTTTATAGAAGAATGACAACTGTATGAAAAAGAAATAATAGCATTTAAAAATCACCATATTGAATAGCATCCAACATAATTTATTCAGGAAGGGATCTTGAAGGGGCACTAAAACCATTAGGTAAAAAGAATGGAAACAGGAAGTTCCCAAGGTGCCAAAATATCACTCCACAGATTTCTCACTGCAAAAGAAAAAAATGTATCTTAGCTCTGGAGAGTTCCAGAAATACTCAAAATCTATCTTTAAATTGGTAAGTTCTGAGTGTTCGGTTTTTTTTGTTTTTTTTTTTTTTACATAGCGTTACAACAAAAACTCTGGAAGTGATTTCAAAAATACATACCTTAAAAAAAAAATATATATATATATATATACATACACATACACCTTTATAATGGAAAGTTCTGAAAGTGATCAAAATGTATCCCTAAAATATAGTTTTGGAAAATGCCAAATCTAGTATCATTAAGAGTGGGACAAACTCATATTATGTACCTCTTAGTACAACACAATATGAAATAATGTTTAATCGAAATTTCATCAAGTTTCTAGACCACTGTCCAATAGAAATAAAATGCAAGCCACAGATGCAATTTAAATTTCGTGTTCTTAAAAGGTAAAAAAGGATGAAGTTAATTTTAATTATTTTAACATAATTTATTCAAAGCATTATTTCAGCATGTAATCAATAGAAGAGAGTATTATTACTGAGATATTTTACATTCTCTCTGTTACACTAAGTCTTTGAAACTGAAAGCATGTTCTACACTTTCAAACAGCACACCTCAACTCAGACTCACCATCTCTCAAGTGCTCTAGACCCATGTGGTTAGTGGCTAAACTACTGCACAGCTCTAGACTGAACCCCTGGATAAGGACAATGAGGGACAGAAGAACAAATGACGGCTTAGTCCTCCAGAGTGAAAATGCAGGAAGTACTCCCCTATCACACTCCTAAGCCCTTAGGAGCACAGATCATGTCCTTGCCTGTTGTTTTGCTTTCTGGAAGTAAGATGAGGGGTTCCCACCTTGTAACCAATCAGGCTGTAAGCCTAACAGTGGGCAATGAGAAAACTTAATTGATCCTGCAAGTCTTGGGTGGCATCTGAGTATTTTCCAATAGAGAGATGAAGTTATGTCCAAAGACAGCAAAGACAGGAAACCGTGTAACCAAATTCCAGCTAACACTGAGACCCTACCAGAGCCAGGCACGTTGATCTCTACCAAGTAATCATTAGAACAACTAAATGAATGACTTTCTCAAGATAGAAAGAGATGGACACGATGACCACAAACTAGAGACGACACAAACTGATACTACCTCATCCCCACACCAAAAATCTGCAGTGACTCTGCAGACAAATCAACTTCAAATTTCATCCTGGAATCCGAGAATCTTTGTAAGGCCTGATTTACTTGACCTGCTTCCAGTTATCCCCTCCTTTCTCCCAGATCAGCATTCCATTCCTGGCATTATCTCCCCAAACAAGCGCACACCTGTTTTCACTTCCAAGCCCGATCCACACTGACTTCTAAGAGTTGGGAAGGTAGACCGCTCTGCTTCAACTGTTACTCCAGTCCTAACAATCCTCTGGGCTCTGCCTCATCTCCTCCCTCTGCTCCTTATCAACTTCTCCCTCCCTCAGAGCCCTGACAACACAGGCCTTGGTCAAACACATTCCTGTTTTGCATGTATGCATTCTTTGTTTAGTAAGTGGGTTGCTGGTGGTTCAGTCCGTTAGGTGTCTGATGCTTGAGCTCAGCTCGGGTCTTGATCTCGGGGTCTGGGTTCAAGCCCTATGTTGGGCTCCACACAGGGCATGGAGTGTACTTAAAAAAAAAAAACAAAAACATGGGATGCCTGGGTGGCTCAGTTTGTTAAGCCACTGCCTTCGGCTCAGGTCATGATCCCAGAGTCCTGGGATAAAGTCCCGCATCGGGCTCCTTGCTTGGGGTGGGGTGGGGGTGGGGGGGTCTGCTTCTCTCTCTGCGTCTGCCTGCTTGTGAGCTTGTGCTCACTCACTCTCTCTCTCTCTCTCTCTCTCTGACAAATAAATAAATAAATAAATAAACCAAACCAAAAACAAAAAACCTTTTTTTTAAAGTGTGTTGCAATGAACCGGAAGTATGGAGACCAGGGCTCTAGTTTAGCTCTGCCAAGAGTACACAGCATCTTCAGCAAGGCCGCTTCTTATCTCTGCTTCTTCAGGTGGCCTCTATGCAATTCCATCAGCACCCCAGCTACATGTCCTCAGCTCAGAGCCTTTATACCTGCTCTACCCTCTGCCCCAAATGCCTTTTTGCCCAGATTATAGGCTAACAAAATTACGTGTTCTTTTACCCTCTGACCTACAAGGCTACTGCTAGAAATTTACTCTTAAGATACAGGGGTCCCTGGCTGGCTCAGTCGTGGGAGCAACTGACTCTTGATCTCAGGGTTGTGACTTCAAGCCCATGTTGGGTGTAGAGATTACTTTAAAATAAAATCTTAAAAAAAAAAAAAAGAGAGACGCCACAAATATAAAACCACATACTCATGAAGTTACGCACTACATAATCCTATACTAAGTCTATAAAATAGCAAAAGCTCAGAAACAATCCAACTGCCCATCCATAGGAGACTAGTTGAATAAATTGTGGTACACTTTTACAACAGTATGACACAAAGCAGGGAGAAAAGAGACAGAAGGGGGAAGGGAGGAAAAGAAGGAGGAGAAGGAAAGATCTCTATACACTAAGGTGAAAAAATATCCAAGCTATGTTAACTTTAAAAAACAATGTGTAAAGTAATTATATATAACGTGCTACTTTTTGTATGAGAAAAAAGAGAAAGTACATACACAGAAAGGACAAACTGATGGGTGTCAGAAGGCAGAGGGTGGAGCGATGGACAAATGGGTGAAGGGGAGCAAGAGATACAGGCTTCCGGTTATGGAACAAGTCACAGGGATGAAAGGTACAGCACAGGGAACATAGTCAGTGGGCCTGTAATAGCGTTGTATGGTGACTGACAGTAGCTACACTTGTGAGCACAGTGTAACATACAGACTTGCTCAATCATATGTTGTACCTCTAAAACTAGTGTTACATTGTATGTCAACTATACTTGAGTTTTTAAAAAGTACATATATATATTTGCTTATATTGGGGAAAAAAAACCACAGGAAAGAAACTAATGAGAATGTTTGCTATAGAGCAGGGAAGGGAATATGGTGCAGGAAAGTAAAAATTCTCTAGATGGATCAAGTTTTGACTTTTGAACTGTGTATTTTACTTATTCAAAAAGACCTGAACTTTACTTAGTAGATCTGTTGTTAATACTACTCCTGGATTGATTATTCTGAAGTAACCAATAGACCAAATGAGTACATTTATTGAGATTACAGCATGTATGAAAAAAACAAAAAAGAATCCCATTGGTCCACAGTGATTTGAAAACAATGATGAAAGAAAAAAATTGAGAGCAAAAGGGAAACCTCTTCTTTACAGAACTAGATCTAATAAATGTAAAAGAAATGACAAAATTAAGAAATCACCTTCTTATAACTACCAATGTAATAATAAATGGCAGAAAGATGATGAACGAAGGCTGCATTTCATAAAAGTTTATAGGTAAACAGGATATTCACAATAAGTCTCAAAATAATTACCTTATTAATTATAAAAGGGAAAAAGTACCTTCCCAATGGGGAAATCTGAAGATACTACTTTAACCAGTGATGGGAACACACTAACAATATATCAGTATCTCAATCCTGATGTGTTACAATGGGAAACACCACCCACGTAGCCAGGCTTGCCAAGAACTTTAAATCAGAACCTAATAATGAGAAAATAGACAAATCCAGATTGTGAGGCAAACTACTAACAAATGCCATGGAGTCTTCAAAAATGTTA